AAGATATGCATTGTTGTGAGGGTAAGAAAAAAAATAAATAAAAGAAACACTAGAAAACAATGAAATAAAATGAGTTGGTATCATTAAAGCAGACGAAAGATTTCAAAAACAAATGAAAATTCAGCTGTTTCTAAACTAAAGGCCCTGTCACACCAAGCTGCGTTCACACGGAGTCATTACGGCGTTGTTAAATTTTTTAAATCGCCGTGGAATCGCAGGAAAATTGCACAAATTTCTGTAAAATTTTCATAATATGAAGATGTCACGGCATCCCTACGGCGACGGACGCGATTCTACGGCGATCTCACGGCGTTCTACTGCGTTCCCACGGAGATCTCCATGCGATTGACTGTGCTTCAGTGGAGTTTTCACGGCGCGTTAGGAGTTTTAACCTCGTGTTCACAGCGTTCTCACTGCGCTGACTGCGTTCACATTGCGTTCTATACTCATTGATATTATATTTAGAAGGAATGTAAAACATTTTTGAAGATTCAAGTTACACGATGAAAAGACTTCTAATCATGCCAAGAAATATTCTTAATAATCAAAAATGTTCTGTTTAAATAATTTAGTACTAAATTATTAATAGTTTTATGATTTAACTCCTTTTTTCAATTTTATCGGTTCAGATGTGTTGTTAGATTTATGAATGTAAAAAAAAATAAACACACTGAAAAGTTTTCTACAAAATTTAAGTGAAACAACAGAACAAGTTCTGGTGTAATTTTCTCTTCCATTTTTTTTTCACTTAAATGCTCCTAGTGCAACAAATACGTTGGAATTATTGCTGATCAAATATGATCCCATTGCTTTTGTTTTGTGAGCTGGCTGACAACGCTCTAACAACGCCGTGAAAGCGCATTGTGATCGCAAACGGACATTGTAGAAATGCCATGGGTGCGCAATGATCGCAGTGACAACTCCGTGCTGTCGCCGTGTAATCGCAGTCGAAAAAATCACAAGACAATAAATCTCATTAGAAGCGCCGTAAAAACGAGATAGAAACGCAGTGACATCTCCAAGGACTCCGCGACATCTCCGTGGAAGCGCAGTCTACTATCACTGCGTTCGTGCCGCGATCATGTGTGTCTTCACGGCGTTCGTACGGAGCTCCTACTACGTTGTTGGAGATCTCACCGCGCTGCTACGGCGATCATACTACGTTTCTACTGCGTTCTTATCAGACCGCGATCACACGGCGCGTACTTTGTGCATGCTTAAAGTGATCGCCGTCCTCTGGCGTTCTAGGAGACCCTACGCGACCCTACGGCGTTCAGTGGAGATCTCGCCGCGTTGACACGGCGCTGTAGGAGACTCTACTGCGGTCACCTCGACGTTTTGCATTTTTTGAGGACGCCGTGCGGTCGCAGCCCCGGTGTGACAGGGGTTTAAGTGAATAAATAAAAGATAAATATCGTCTCATCAGCTATGCAGCCCCACGCTGTGGTTTCTGCAGGAACTGCATTTGCATTTTTCACCCGTCCATGTCTCAATGAAAGTTTTAAATTGGCTGAGGGTGGAAAGTTCCTAGCATGATTTGGTTTTTACAATATTTCTAGCTCACCAAGTGAGTTTTTCTTATCAAAATGTGTCCATTGTTGTTAATTGTTGTAGAGGACTCAATGCTGATTACAATCATACCAACAGTTTGACTGCTTGATGTCCAGGAGTAAAGAAGAAGATTTTTAAAGATTGCACTAATTTTACTGGTTTTGGCCCCACCCCCCAGGCCCCTGGGGGGCAGAGACCATGAAATTCACAATTTTTGTTCCCCTTCACCCATAAATGCTATATGCCAAAATTGGTTGAAATTGGTTCAGCGGTTTCAGAGAAGAAGCTGAAAATGTTTAAATGTTAACGCACGACGAACGACGCACGACGACGGACGAAAACAGATAGCAATAGGTCACCTGAGTTTACTCAGGTGACCTAAAAAGTTAGTCACTGTGACCTACTTTTGAGTTAACATGTTGTGAAGTCCTAAGATGCATCAACTTACAAGATTTGATGATCCTAGTCCTTATAGTAAGCGAAATATGAACGTTTTTATTAGGTGTAAATTTAGGTCAACATTGTAGTGACCTTGAGACCATGCCCTTTGCCCCAGGGTAATTCCCCATGCAAATTTTAATCTTCGACGTATCCTGATCCTTGTATGTAAGTTTGGTGAAAATCTGCCCGGTGGTTCTGGAGAAGAAGATTTTTTAGCAACCAGTACTTTTGGTTTTGTTTTCCTGATTATCTCCCCTTGTTTAAGAGTTCCAACCCTTATTTTAATATAAATGGTAGCCCTTGGGCCAAGGATACCCTGTGACAAATTTGACACTGATTGGCCAACGGGTTCTTGAGTTATGGCCCATATTCTAAAAAGTTAATGTACACCGCACAAATGGCCATAGCATTAGCTCTTTGAGCCTTTGGCTCAGAAGAGCTTAAATGATTATCTTTAACTTTAGAACGTAACATATGACTGTTAAAACACCCCCCTTTCAGCCATTCAATTAAAACGTTTAAGACTGTCCTACAGAACAACTGCAGTTTAATTTCTACGATACAATAGGTTCATCAATATCGAGATTTGATTGAAAGAATTATTATTAGTCATTTTTAAATGCCTGTTTTTCAGATAATTAGGTCGAAATTTCTCTAACCTAGGGCATTGTAGTAACCCTGGACTTCCGGTCCAAGTACTGTCATTAATGCTAATGATACGTAAAATCCTGTTGAAGCGTAATGTAGTGAATCTTTGCATCAGCAACTCTCCATCACCTTTATTTTGATATTTTCCCGCTACAGCAATGAAAATGCGTACTTAAGTCATTTATAGGAAGCCTTAGCATCACTACGGGAAACGGGAGAAGAATTTATTTTTTGAAATATTGCTGTATTACTTATAATGAACAGTTACAAACCCTTAAAACACAAAAATATTGCCAATTGTTTTGTTACACATGCAATTTTTTATTTCTGTTAAGCAGACTCAAACTTGACTTCCGGTTATGGTATGAAAGATGTTCAACCGTTAAATTACCAATATTTACAAAATTGAAGATATCCATACTTTTTTAGATAAGAAATTCTTTACTATATATAATTATTTCCCCCTAAAGTAGGGTGTTGCATTTCTTTTGCATGTCAGTATACATGTATAAAGTTCAGTCATGCTTCTTTAAATTGTCCAAAATATCAGAAATATCTTAGGGGGTGGAGGGGGTGCCGAATTCAGGGCTTTAGGAAAACCTAAATAGGTTGAAATGAGTGACAATTTTAAATATTGAAGTCTAACAGTTTGTTCACCACATCCTGACCCAGCTGATAAACTGCCATGCCACTGTAAGGAAGTCTGAATCATCCATAAGTTTGTGTTTACCTTACTTGGAGATAAAACCAAATGTGTGGACAACATAGACTAAAACAAATACAAACTAAACTACTTGTATAAACTTCCCAAACAGAAACAGACATAAGGATTGAATAAAATTGTAAAGTACCGAAACATCAAAAAAAACAATTGTTTATATCAAGTTTTGGATTCAAATTTAGTGAAATTCTGCTAAATATAGTAAAAGAATCATCACTGATTTATTTAAGTTACAGAAATACATACCTATTAGAAACAATAGAAGGAAAATAGCACTGGTTGTTTACATCAACTTTTCTCTCTGAATCAGATATGAATCTACTCTGTTGTCCATAAGCCCTGATAGTGGACACTCCACTTATTGACTCTCCAAAGTGAGAAAATATTGGTGATCTAAGTGTTGACTCTAATCTTTTAAGTTGTCTTGAAGTTGCAACATAAAATCTCTAAAAAGGAAAGAAAAAAAAATCACCAACACAAACAAAGAGTGAAATTTAATAACAAAAGACCAAAATGGGCCACAACTCCAATCTGATCCCTATGGCCCTCACAGTTGTTCTTCATAAAATCTTTTCCCAATTTACATGTGTATCCCTGTGTAAAACTAGTGTTAATTGTAACGGGGACCGTTACAGTTGTTCCCCAAACGCTCCCCAACTCCCTTTTTTGTGCCTAATTCCTGTGAGACTTTTTTTTAATATGTTAAGTATCGAAGGATTTCACGAAAAAATTACAATGATATCAACTATATGTCATTTAACGCATTGCATGTGCCCGCACGTTCACATGCAAGATGAACATGGCATGTTGTCTAAACCATTAACATATCCTTATATCGTGAGAATCAATAAAAATATCAAAAAGATATAAAAGTTCCTGTTTTTCAAATATATTGGTCGTATTGCCAATTTGGCGCAGGCACGTGCATGCATGCATCCTTGCATTCAAATTTGATAGTAGCATAATGTAAGAATCCATTACAGTATACCTATTCATATTCTAAATTTCATCCCGTTTTGTTGAGAACCCAGAAAGTTATAGACATTTAAAGTTTCTGCCAATCAGATTGCAGCTTACGTTCATGCGCATCCTTTCATGATATTTCTTATACAGTACCGATCGGACACAACCTAACAGAAAGCGAACCCGGAGTGTACCCCGGGTTCGCTCTCTGGGTCCACTTCGAGTTCGCTCAGGGTCCGCTAAGGCTAACCCCGAGTGAACCCAGAGTGGACCCAAAGCGAACCCGTAGCGGACCCCGGGCGAACCCGAAGTGGACCCAGAGAGTGAACCCCAAATTCAGTAGCGGTCCCAGAGAGCGAACGCGCGTTCGATATTTCTTTACAGAGCTGTCAATCAGTATTAGCGATTAACCAATCAGCGCATCAACCAATCAAAATAGCATATTGATCTGTCGATTGGGATAAATTGTTTGATTTAATTCAATATATATCAAAACATTGTACATGCAAGCAAAACATGTAAATGCACAGTGTAAATCTATTATGATAATTAAAATATTAGTTTATATTTATTCATTTTAATTCTCCAGGTTGTATTTTATATTTATATATTTATTTTCTTTTTCTATTAAAGCAATTAATAAATTATATATTTTAATTTTCCACGTAGAATGATACATGAATATTTACGTATTTATTTTCTTTAGTTCTCTATACCAGTTTTTAAAGTCCATGGGTAAATAAATTGGGTAAATACATCAGTCAATGCGTAAAAAATTATTGATATTTTTAATTATGCATGAAAAAAAAAATTACACGTACATGTACATCTTCCTGTATATTTTTGAAAAAAAATTATTGCAGCAGGTTTCGAGCACGGGATTGGGAGGACAACTCATAGAAATTTAAGAAAAAGTCTTCAGGCTTTATTATTAAAATCTAGTCTAATGCTTGGAGTTAATACAGTTAAGATCTCTCTCTCTCTCTCTCTTGATGTTTCCTGTATTTATTTATATTCAAATATTTAGAAATATTTTTTAAAGATAATTTTTATTTTCATTAATGTATGTGTGAAGAAAAAGGGGGGGAGGGTAGATTATTATACTCTTAGCGGGCCTGGAGAACAATTATTATTTATCATTTTATTTTATTTTTTTTCATTCTGATTAAAATCATAATCGCTCTGTAATTCTGAGCGTAAAGAAGATCTGATATAATTTATTTTTTAAGTATCCCATAAATATTTATAAAGAACTTTTAGTGTGTAACTACCACAAATGAAATCTAAATATATCAAGTGTACAAAAGGTAATTGTAATTTATAGATGCCATATCATAATTCACATGTTTGGTAAAGATTTAAGCTACGATTTAGCAAAACTTAAGGAATAACAAATATAATTTTGAAGTATACAACGCATGAATTCGAAGGGTATTTTGTTTAGAGGCTAACGTGAGTTTCACTTGTACACCATTTGATACATTGAAAATAAATTCAACACCTTTTTCTTCCTTTTTTGTTTTTGTTTTCACGTTATAACTAATGAAAAATAAATGCCTAATAACCCACTGTCAAATAAGTTTGAATTTCTCGGGATTGAAATTCCGAGATCGGAGAAATCAAGGAAATCAATTATACATGTAAATCTACGTCAAATGTACAGTTGATTTTTGAAAAATTATCAATGTTTTCCATAAAGTCACTGTTTACATGTACAAAGTACATGTATCGATCGCCGCATAAAAAACAATGATCGATCCATAATCCCATTACTGTGTCGGAATATACAAGGGGCGGGGCTTAGTGACAGCGAGATTAAAGCGCGGTCTGCTTCACGCATCAGTGCATAAAGCGGTCCCAGAAAGCGAACGCCGGGTTCACTCTAGCAGACCCAGAGCTGACCCCGAGCGAATGCAGAGCGAACCCGGAGCACACCCAAAGCGCACCCAGAGCGGTCCCAAAATTTCTGAAAGCGAACCCGAAGTGGACCCCGAGTGAACCCAGGAAGTGAACCCGGGGTCCGCTTCAGGTTCGCTCTGGTGTTAGGTTGTGTCCGGTCAGTACTGTATATCATGCTGTAGATCTTCATAGTGTATGACTTTGTTCAAAATTTCAAAGGATTTTGTCAAAAAAACAAGAAAGATATTGAAAATTTAGTTTCAGCCAATCAGAGCAAAGTGCACGTGAATGCACATGAGATCTTGCATTTTTGACCATGTCATCTTGTCTATACTACTAATGTATACTGGACCCTCCTCCAAGCATCCTTTAGGATGTAAAGGATGAGGGTCATTCGATGTAATGAGCCTGAGGCTCAAGAGGGTATCATGTAGCATTATCTCCGAGTGCAGCGAGGCGTATCTCAATTTAAGACGCTAAACAATAATGACCTGTGTGACGTATACACACCTTTGGTCAGTAGTATATAAAGCACAGCTCCACGTGCCGAAATCATTCTTGAAAGCTTGTTTGTGACGACTAACAAACATCATATGGGTGGGTTATTTTCCCTCAAAATAAAATCAATTTGGGTTGGGTACATGATACCCTCTTGAGCCTCAGGCTCATTACATAGAATGACCCTCATCCTTTACATCCTAAAGGATGCTTGGAGGAGGGTCCATTCTATTACATATCGCCTTTTGGCTCTACGAGGGTATCATGTAGCATATTCAAAGTGTTGGTCACAAACAAAATATTACAATAAAAATGTATATTTTCAAAGTATTCAATAAGAGGACCACTTCATTGAAATTTTAATGAAAAAATAAAAAACTCAAATGCAACTAAATTTTATTCAAATTCAGAGTTTATAGATAACATAAACTTATTAATAAGAGAAATCACATTCACAAAAGTGTTCATTGTCAACAAAACAACTAAATAAATGTCACCAAACAATTCATTGTTCATCTATTCAACACTGATTGTGCGAAAAGTCCATCTGAATCACATCCAGTTGTATCTTTGTAATAAAACTTAAAAAATGTTTTTGAATAAGTCCAATTCGCAGCATCCATTATTTCTTTTAACGACACTCCTCATGAATAGGCCACTGAAGCTGAAGTTCCTTGGAAAGAGTGGGCAGTAAAGTTTCTGATTCCTGACAGTTCTAGAACACTTTTCAACCATCTTGCTAATGTATATGTTGAGACAGGATTAAATGTTTTATAGGACACAAATAATGTAGATGATTTTCTTTTATTTTCCTTTCTTTGTAAATATTTGTGTAATGTTGAAACAACACAAAGTCTTTCATCAGAAAATTTACGTAAAATAACTCTAAGTACAGGAGTTCCAGGCTTACATGTTTTCAGTAACTTCTGAATTTGAAAAATAACCTTATCTGCAAACACTGACATGTACTTTAAATCAAGAGCCAGCAGTGTTTGGGCCCTGGAAGCTGTTGTAAGTGCAACAAGAGCTATCAGTTTTAAAGTTAACATATGTGAAGATATTTCACGTAAAGGCATTAAATTGCGTAAAAAACACAAAACTTGCGAAACAATGCCCAAGATGTCTTAACTTTAGGACGACATGGATTAAGATTGAAATATCCTTTCATTAATTTTGGAATTAATAATGGTTCCTTAACCCATAAAACACCAAAATATGGTAAAGTATTAATCAACATGGATTTATGAGTATTCATAACAGAATATGAAACTTTATTGCTCATCAAAGAAATTAGATATTTAACAACTATTTCTTCAGAGGGTGTAAAGGGATTTGTTTTCCATTTAGAACACCAAAGTATCCATTTTTGCCAGCAGCACTGGTATTGTTTATTTGTGGTTGGTCGTAGTGAGGCAAGGATAATGTCACAATGGAATCTTGCCAGCCCCTTGTCAAAGAGGGATCCCCTGATACAAGACAGGTGGTTAGTGTTATCTTTCGGAGTGGATGTTCTTCTCCTGTATGGGGCATCACCAACAGATCCTTGTGCCGGGGAAGTCTAATTGGAATAGAAATCAAAACAGACATTAGCTGTGGAAACCAAGTTTGAGTTTTCCATAACGGGGCAATAATTATGGCTTGCTTTACTCTATCCTCTAATATTTTATTGATTATTCTTCCAATTAATTTAAATGGTGGAAAAATATATGGACGTAGGTTTGACCAAGATAAAGTGAAAGCATCAATGTGATAAGCATCAGGATCAAAATTCCAGGAGACAAACTTTTCCAATTGTTTATTTATCCGAGAAGCAAATAGATCTATATCTGGATTGAAAAATTGTTTACAAATTCGCAAGAAAATATCATGTTTTAACTTCCATTCTGTAGATTCAGCAAAATTCCTAGAAAGAGCATCAGCATATATATTCTCACACCCAGGTAAATATTGGGCTGAAATAATGATATTGCGTTTTATGCACCAATTCCAAATTTTGACTGATAGATCATTGAGCTGTTTTGAATGCATTCCACCCATTGCATTAATATAAGAAACCACAGTTGTGTTGTCAGTTTTGATATAAATA